ACAGTAAACTGTGGTCTAGAGGCCTTTATTAAACCAAATTATTGTAAAGCATCCACCTCATAAAAAATAGCAGAGTTTTCTCTATTTTTAAGGTGTCCACATCATCATTTTAAAGCATCCACCTCCTAAAACAGAATAATTGCATTGAACTAAAGTTTAATGATTCAATTAATCTTTCCTTTTATTTTTGTTTTTTTCTATTAGTTATCACACAACATAAAATTAAAAATTTACATAAAACAAAAATTAAAAAATATTACAATACAATAAAATCAATAGATATTAGAAGAACTAAAAAAAATTGATACAAAAATTAGTATAAATATTTCCAACGTTAAATTTGATTCAAATTGTAGATAAATCATACATCATTTTAAGTACAAAACAACATACATCTTTTTAATTACAAAAGCAATATGAATATAAGGTAAAGATTATGTTTATTTCATCAACTTGAAAAATTGGTAAAATGTTCACATAAAATTATAGATAAATATGAGACAACTCTAAAAGAATAGAAATCAAATGATGATGAATGTTTGGGGAGATGTAATAAAGTGACTAAAATGAGGATTTTGAAGTAGAAAATATGATTAGATAGTAAAAATATTAACGATTGCTAAAAGATATGAACAACTTCACTATAAAGATATTGAAATCAATATAGTCTTAACATGTTAGTATATGTGAGCAAATCGAAGATGAAAAGAGAATAGATTAAGGAAGGAAAACAAGTGTGGCTTAGAAAATATAGAAAGTTAAATGAGATAAACAAGTGTTTTTGCGCTAAAAAATATGTAGGCAAGAGACTAATATAAAACTTTCATATTATTTTTATTATGTCAAATGAATGGTTTTTTTATAAAAGTACTCTACCTATATTAGTAGACTATGTTATCGGATTTGAAACCAACTAAATTTTGTTTGGTCGCACCAATATGCTAGGTTGGATAGAAAAAAACATTTTTAAGTTGATAAAAAAATATTATAACATATTGTGTTTGCTTTCATTGGTAAAAGATACTCGCCGAATCCATTGTGGTTGTACATAATTACC